TATATTAAACGCAAATTCATCCAATAAACTTAAGTAAATTAAATATTATATGAAACAATTAAATGATGAAAAATATATAAAAATGTATTTAATCCATTTGAGAATTTTTATTTACATTTTAGTTTTTAATTAACATATATGTATATAAAATTATTTTGTAGACCCAATTGCGTCTATAATTTGGAAAATGAGAAGGGAGTAATTTCTGCAGAATTGAGAATTCTTGTTAAGTAGATTCACTTAAAGAAAAACAAAAAAATTTTCAAAAAAAATTTTTTTTTTTTGCAGTGACGAAGTCATTTAAATTTAGAGAGATGCTTTCAAATTATTGAAATGACCAAGTATAAGATAGCTTAATGATCTTATCGAATTCTTAATGAAATAAATTCAAGACAGACATTTACATTCCAAAAGATATTCGAATTTGATTTCCAATCAAACTATTTAAATGTGCAGCATTTAATAATTTCAATATAGTTTCATCTGTATTGTGCTATACAACTTTGGCGATTATTTTCAGTTTGTAATACGCATGGATCAAGCCTTTCATTAAAGTTGCGCCACATTTGAATGCTTGGCAAACATTCTTGCCACGTTGCAGCTGCAGTTGCAGTGGCTGCAGTTGCCTCTCAGTTGCATTATGTAAAAGTCAGAGTGTCGCCTCGCTGGTTGCTCACAGTGCCTGCCAATCAATAAACATAAAATTTTACACAGCTCCCGGCCCGAGCCATCGCTGGCCTGGCCTGCTTACAATCGACGATAATATCCATATCCGGCTGACGGCTCGATGGGCGGCAGGAGGGCGTGGCAAACGCATAAAACTTTACAGGCGCCTTGTTGTAGTGGAAAATTTGTGCATACGCGTTTCGACTAAAATAAAATGCACTCGACAGAGCGCAAGAAGCAGCAGCAGCACCAAAATCAAATCGAACAAATTGAATATGAGAGAAAGAGCAGGAGGAGCAGGAGGAGCAGGAGGAGGAGCAGCAGCATACGATAGATAGATAGAGCAGCTGGACGGGGACGAACTATAAAAACTGCAGACAAATTGCACATAAGGCGTCAAGGCGAATAAGAAGAAGAAGTAGAAGAAGAATGTAGCTAAACCCCAACATGCACAGTCCCATCAAAGGGCTATGCTCCGCCGACTCCTGCCCGCCGTCAGCTGAGACGAAGACAACGACGACCCGCATCATGCCTCGCCTTTGGCTACAGCCATTTTTGGCAAACGACAGCGAAAATGTTGCGTTTACGCCAGAGGCAAAAGGGCCATCAAGGGTGTGGACGGGCGGTCGGGCGGTCGTGGGTGGCAGAGCCTGAAGGCCGTAGCCGTCGCTGTTACGCCTGGTAATGGCGGGCTGGGTGCTGCACTGACGACAACTTTCAAGCCTGGCATGCAATGTCGTAAGCGCTGCGTTTACAGTTAGATTTATTACCTGCTAGATGTTGCACATATCGCGACAAAGAGAGGGAGAGAGACAGAGAGATGAGTGAGAGAGGGAGCATGTGAATGGCAATGGGCGTGCGCTTATCACTGCTGAGCTTTGCATATGTCGCGACTTTGTTTTTCTTTTACATTTGGAGAGTCTGCGAAACTTGAAGGCGTCTAAGTTTGTACAGCAACTGAGAGACGGCGTATAAGAAGAGAATACATAGATAGTTAACAGTTTGCATAATTCAATCTATAAACCGAATATCAATTTTTTATTCAATTTATGCAGAGTTGAACAGTAGAATAGCGGAATATTTTAATTTTAATAATTTGAATTTTAAATGATGCAAAATAGAAGTGGTTAGCTTTAATGATATGCTGAAAATAACTTAAAACAAAACAAAAAAATAAATAAAATAAAATAAAATTAAACTAAATTTAAAAAAATAAAAAAATAAAAACAATTAAATAAAACAAAAATTTTAGTATATATCTATTACTTTAAGTAAATAAAATACAAATGATTTTCTATACTTATTATTATATATGCTTATATAATTGATAACCCTCTGTGAGCTTACTATTGAGCACCATTTGCAATCGTCCTAATACTTGGGTATAATAAAAAATTTACCTCTTCTCGGCCTTCTCATATACACACCCAGACTTTACTTTCTATTCATATATAGCAAAGAGTGATATTTACAGTTATATTTTTTAGTATTGGTAAACGAAAAAACGATAGCAAAAAA